CTATCCTTCCGTTACTTCCATCGGTAGGACGAGCAAACTGAATGAACCTACCACCTGAACATGGAAAGATACATCGCCATATCCCGAAACCTCTCTTAGCGGCCGTGCAGCCCCCGCAGCCGGTACCAATCAAACCATTGCTTGGATCGAAAATCTGTCGAGGCCAATCGGTTCGCAGCGCGCCAGAACCCCGGAACTGCCTCTTTCCTCACTCAAATTTGTTAAAAAACGAGTGAGATATGTCCTTTCTCCTCTTCTTCCTTCCCCTTCTGCCATATCTCGGCGTATGGTACTTTCCTACTAACTTCTACTCTACTAACTCTCTACTAAAACTAACCTTGGATTCGATCTCGCCTTGCCTCAAAACCCCAACTTGGCAACTTAGATTGTTCAAAACAGTCGTGAGATGGGTGCGACGTACTAACTTCGACCCCTCACCATGTCCTCTTCAACACTTCTCACGCAGCCATTACCACTTCTAGCACTTACCTTACTAATCTAATGCTAAAACTAACACCATCACTGCAGTCGCCCTGCAAAAACGCCCCGAAAACATCCTTCTACTCGCCCGATTCTATTAAGAATCGAGCGGGTTGCGCATATCTTACCGCGCCTTGTCCTGCGACCCCCATAACTCACCGACTTCATTTTTAACTTCTTAACGTACCCTGCGCCGTTTAATGTCCAGTTTCATTCCTTCCCTCCACTGCTTTGTCCTCACCCGTCGCCCCTCGTTCGGTTTGTCGCTGCCTTCCTCAACCCGACAACACTTCGCTGTTTGGCACTCTGCCTCCTCTTACTATTAACACAGTCTCCGTTTCGCAGTGGCCCGACACCGCTCAACTTAATCCGATCCTACTACTCATGGGCGACGATCCGAAAACGGTCGATTATTAGACGGTCGACTAATCTTTCGTCCCTATACCCCGTTCAACAAGTAGTATGGCCCGCTGGTCTCATTGCCAGCCCGCTACAGTCCCACCTCGCCCCGCTGTACTCCGGTTGAGCCCACCACCCTCTTGGGCCCCTAACGGCTACCCACACACAGACCGTAGTCGAGGTGTTGAGCGCATCAGCTCCCACCTTTTTCGCAAAGGCGGGAGCCTTCCCGACCATGTCACGCAGGAGTAAACCAAACAAAACCAAGAGAGAACTTGGGAACGACGCCCAACTGATCCCGCGAGCCACCGAGACCGCCGCGATGATCGCGTCGTCCCGTCGCCTCTCTAACCGGGTGCTCCAACTGTACATCCCGTGGTCCCCTACGACAGGATATGGGGACTTCCCAGTCTTGATTGACCCACTCAATCCTCATGCCAAACCTGCCTTCCTCCCATCCTTCCCCCAAATGCAAACCTTTTTTTCACAATCTGCTTTCACGCAGCCAATAAACTGAAACTTGAGATTGCACACACATTCCTTTACTTCGTTTGGATTATGTCCTGAAAGTCAAACTAAAAGTCAAAGTAGGGGTGCAAATATTATACTCAGTCAAATGCAACAAGGAGTACAAATAAGGCTTATAACTGGGTTTATATAAAAAAAGCAATTGTTACCTTTTAATTACCTGCCTCCAAAACTCCTCCCGAGTTCCGGCAGAGCTCCCGCAATCGGTGGGATGACTCCCCACAGAGTCTTCCTGCGGTCCTACGGGTTGCAATCCCGCCTGCCGCCTTCCTCTCAGAACCAGGATTCGACTTAGAGTAAGAAGGGCACAAGATAAGGGGTCTGAGACTCTCAAGATACATGAGGGGGACAACTCAACTCTCAGGAGAGAGCCTTGTTATCTTCCATCGCCTGAGGACCCCGCAATGGTGGCCAATCAACAACAGCCGCCGGTTAAACTGAAGTCAAGCTGTTGAAGTCAATACTCTGACGACCTCCTAGTTCGCAGCAATCTCCCCCTTTCGCAACCACTCCTCTAAGTTGTGATAGCAGCCTCCCTTGTCGTCCAATCACCCCCTTCACATTATACCTTCGCTCCTTGTGGGCCAACTGTAGTCACATGGCTCCAAACAGTCGCACTTAAGGCAGTGCAGCAAGCCGTAATAGGCCTGGGAATCACCGTTGTAGCACAACAACCGAGACAAACTGCGGAGCTTACTATGAAGGGCTGGTAAGGAATACTGCAATTCTCAACAACAAACTCCCTTGTGTATCAGCAAACAGCAACAATGGCCCCCCCTTTTCTTGTAAAGTCTGTCCACACCCCCAAGTTACGGCGCCGCACCTACAACTCAGCAGGTCGCTGTTCTGTCAGGGCGTGCAGCGTGCAAAATAGGATCCGCCCCTCATTTAGGATGGAACAGACCTTACAGAAATACCGACGCAGAGCGACCATGCAGACCAGCAAGCAATGTGGAGCGCGGCAGTACACAACAACCAGCAAAAACCGCAGTAATGGCCTTAATATGCAACGACTTGGTTGCACAGGAATCAAATCGCCAGCTGTTGGCTCTCTGATTATACCCCCACTCGCAGTAGACGACTCCGCTCACACAAGCTCGACTTACCCTGCAGGAGTTCGCGGCCTGTCCTTCGTTCGTCACTCCACGGTTACATACGATTTGCTGGTACGCTGCAATCCCCCTGTTGACTTCGCAGCTTTGCGCCCTTAGTTAGAACTTGGTCAGATAAGCCTCCCCTGTTGTTCTTTCCCCCTTATGTCGCTTACTTAATTCCTATAATGAGAGTGAGCACCGTGCTGAAACTGGGACTGGTACATGCCACTAAGGTGATGTAAGTCAGGCGAGGGAGCTCATACGACCTGCATGCACATATCCTGCCCGCTCTGTACCCCTCTCTTACTTCTTTGTGCCCCGTAACTCAGCGTAACCTGATTCTCAACCTATCTCACCTCGCCAATCCTCCCGAGCACGTGCATACTCCCCCTGCTCCTTTCGCTTTGTTGCATTCAACTCCTGATTTCGCCCCCGACCTGAACCCATCGCATCGCTTATCTTTTTCCGCTATCTCCACCACCTTCATGCACCCCCAAACACGTATCCTAGCTAAACTACCAACTCCTAACTGAAACTAGTAGTACCCTCTCATCGAAAATGGCCGAGAACCCCCGCGCAACACTTTAGGCCACTCGATTCTGATAAAAAACGAGCGAGGTATAAAGCTTCTGCCCCGTTATTCCCATTCTCCTATTTCACGGTCTACCTGTGAGGAGCCAGTGTCAGGCTACTTTCCTTAAGTAAGACCTCTAATCAGAGGCAAAAGTCTGACCGACAGCTATGACGACTTACACAACCACCAACCAAACTTAAAAGAATCACTTGCGCCTCAAACCGGCGCGTCCACACACTCTCTATTCTGGTCAACCATCCATTCAATATAAATCACAGACTTAGTCGTGCCTCGCGCGGTATACTTAATCTTTAACCCAAACCTATTTTCTATCACGTGCAAAAACCAGGGCGGATACCCTTGTAAGGGTATTCACACCGACAACTTACCGGACCATATTAAGCGACGTCCCCGTCGCTTCAAGAGATCAGAAAGTTATAAATTCATCCAACTCCAAAGATGCTGGCGAGAAAGGAACCAATCCGATTAGCTGACAGCCTCAGGGTTGAGGCCTCCAATAATCCAAACCCTTATAACTATATACCGCCAGGGTTCCAACCTGGGTCTCCATTGTCCTGACACTAGGACGCAGGTGTACTGGTCATACGTACTACAACATAAGTCTCAGCGACCCCTCTCAACTGTCCTCTCCCCTTCGTCCTAGACAAACGCCGACTTATCGTTAAGTGTCCTTAGTCTCTACCCTGCGAGCAGGGCCATAACCAAGGACGCGGGCTGTAACCGAGACCTTAGAAGACACTTTCGCCTCCCTCCCAGTAATTCTCACAATCAAACATATATATATATATATATATATATATATATATATATATATATATATATATATATATATATATCTTATCTTAACACACCTCCTGCAGTCTAGTACAGGAAGGCTAGGTTTCCATCTTGGTCCACCATAGTCTGGGTGATCGTGCCAGATCTATGCCCCACCGCATTTGTTGTTTTAGCGGTAATGCCCTCGCAGGTTGCGCCACGATAGGTTTTTTTCTCCTGATAAACATTCAATCAGGACTCCAAAAGACCCGACTCTTATCCCACACCATCTTGCGGCATGTAAAACCCTCCCGGGTGGCCATACACCCTTTTCTGGCGAGACGTGGGCCCGCTGTCAGGTTGCGCCGATCAACAACCAACACTGAGGGTTGTGCCCTAGTGATGCTAGTTATACCCCTGGCTGAATCTCTCATAAATGCCCCAAGATTAGCACAAGTGGCTGGACGGTGTGTCGCAACAATACAGACTTACTGTGAGACTACGCAAAGGTTTGTCCCACATAAAAGGTATTTACCAGTCCTCTGTGGGACAACACAGAGAAACACGACAACCTCTCCACTATCACAAAACAGAATCACCGCCAGACCCGTAAGGCCGTGACCTCCCTACTTGATCAGAGCAAGAAGGTCACCTCTCAGGGATATCTCCCAATGAAGCTTATTGCGATTTAAAAAAAAAATCTAATAATGGGCAAGCAAAAACATGGTCCTTCTCGTCAGACTTTATCATTCAAATCAGCCTACCATGCCATCGAATCTATTCACCCCCTTTTCCATACGAAGGAGGTCTCTCTCAATAGGTCTCTCAGTCATCCCTTCTCTGTCTAGGATGACTCCCATGCGATCTTTTAACACATATTCCCTTTCTGAAGATGAGTCTTCCAACAAACAAGAGACTGCACTTCCCATAAAAGGCGTCTCAACCATAAACAACTCAAACCAAGAGACCAACTTATGAGCCCCTAATCACAACTCAACAATAACCTTCAGCATGGTAAGCATTCGAGTTTCAAAGACTCATAACCCCCTTAGGGTTCTCACTCTTTCCATAAAAACAGACTGCACTTCCTTTCCTTATACCCTGCTCTATCACCTGCCTGTGGGCAGATCGCACGAGTATACCAGAGAGTAGACAACTCACATTCATTCACGTTCACAACATATAAAGCATACAAGATGTTCCTCATACATCCTTTTACACAAAATCATCATACATCAGGATAAAACCACACAATGAGAGTGGAAGTGATCAACACAACGATAAGCCTCATAGGGTCTCAACTCAATGTATACTCAGGAAATGAATGCCCCATCACTCTACTAAACCAGATAACACTCATGTCCCAAGAGTATAAAATCTTAGATCACACTAAATCTATCCATACAAATCACAATGCAACTGCACACTCAAATATGTCACATAACTGAATATTATCTCCTAAGTCACAACAAAAGAATCCCACAAATCTGTCAAGTACTACAAGCTATAGTATATGTACAAATAGACAGATCACACATGACTGACTTCAAAAATGTACATCTCTAACTCAATCTCTATGTGCAAAAAACTCTAACTCTATCGCCGTGTAGGCAACTCAGTCCCTACTCACTCATCTCCTCCTAGTTTTGCCTGTACAGCTGAGCCCTACCTCCATCTGCAGATCGTTCTACTACCCTATCCTATTTATCATACATCTTTCCACCACTCTTCGTAACCTTCCATTCAGCCAGGTCCTTTAAGAACTTAGGACGCTGCAAGGCTCGACGACCTTCCTTTTTGCAAAAGAAGCAGGATGCGTTAAACCACTTCTTGGACTTCTTCTTCTCCCTCTGAGACCCTGGTGATGATGGCGCCTCGCTAGTCTCCCTGCTCAGCTCGTAACTCTGAGGCACATCCATAGGCTCCCCAGGTCCTGTCCCTAACTCCTGAGTACTAGGCCCTGGTTGTATCCCAACCCCCTCTGACCTATACTTAGGCGTATCCAACCTCTGGGGCCTGCCCTCGATGACGCCCTCCACCGCAATCCCCATCTCACTCTCAGGAGGCTCCTCTATCCTCTGCTCGGGTGAAAATAAGCTTGCCTCCTCCGGCATAGTGTGGACTGCTTCAAGGAGCACATTCATAGACCCGTATGCTGAGCCTTGGACAGACTCGTCGCTGGCCATCGGCTGCCCCTCCTCGACTGATAGTGGCATGGTAGGTTCCGCTGCTACTGTAAGCAGTGTAGCGAGTTCAGTAGGGGCTCTGAACTCGAAGGCTTCTCTCTCTGCCTCCCTCTTGGCTTTCGCCTTCTCAGGCTCCAAGGTGACTCTTCCCATGGACGACCCCTGCTGAGGCTCAGCCGCGGATGGTTGTCCTGATAAGCCATGCTCTGCCTGTCTCTGTTCTTCCTGTCGGCTGCTGTCTGCCCTGTCCACTCCGCGTCGAGGCTGTTGCCTCAAGTCCTGGATGATTGCGCCTTGACTAACCACCAGTGCTCCGAGCTCACGAACCTCAACCTCAACTGCCTCCAATCGTACTCCATGGCTCATCTCCTTCATCTCCCTTCCTCTTAGACCAGCTTCTAACATCATACATCTGTCGAAGGATGTCTTGGCTAGGAAGTGGATCTTTCGGTCCAAGTACTCATCTGCCTTCTTTGAGGTCCCAGCTTCTGCCCTTTCTGGAACCGTCAATCCCTCGCCATGCTGGTCTAGGAACTCATCCCACATCTCCTTGATTCCATATGGTTTGGGTGGCGGTGGCTGATCTGGGAGTGCCCCTGCCTCTTCCAATCTCTGCCTCTCCTGCCAGATTTCTTCCAAACGTTTTCCTACCCTGGCCCGCTTCTCCTCAGCTGTCTCCCCAGCCGACACTCTCTCCCTCGTGCGGTGGTCGGCTCTCTCCGAAATCTCCGCTCCCATCTCTCTCTCAGCCTGACGCGGCTCCTGGCGTGGCTCCACAGGTACGGACTCCTCCACGTCGGGGTGCTCAAGGGCACGTGTGGCCAGATGTCTGTCGATCATAGCCAGGGTCTCTCTCCTCCGATCAGCTCTCTCTCTCTCCATCTCCACCCTTCCTTTTAGTGAAGGGACCGTCTTTGGCAGTGGTAGTGAGATCTCCTTTCGATGTGATCCCTCCTCTCTGCCATGAGTGTCCTCTGGCGTACTCCCGAGTCTCAGCCCCACAGCCGGCGTCTGAAGGGGAGTATCCTCCTCAACCTCTATCACCCCCTCTCCAACATGCCCCCTCTCTCGCTCAGGTCCCTGGGCCTCTTCTCTGGGTGCCTCCTCTGCCAACTCGCCACGCCCCTCGCTCGTCGGCGGTACTCTCCAATGCGAGACATCCAAATGTGCCTCCAAATCTTGTAGAGGCTCTCCAGATACTAGCATCTCCTCCCGTGTGTGCAGTGGAGATTCTCCCAGTCCACCCTCAATGAAGCGATGAAACTCTACCGGCCCCAACCCGTACTCAGGATATGCCCCTCGCCCCTCAGTCTCAGGTACCGACTCCTCCTCTCGCTTGGCGAGAGCCTTCAGTCCCCCTCGAGATGGCCTGCCCTCACTGGGTTCAGGGTCCCTCTGCCTCTTGCTCCTCTGGCGCCTCTCGACTCTGGGCTGAGGCAGCGCTGGCCGTCGGAATGCCTCTCTCAAGTGCGCCCAACAACTCTCCTAATCTCGGGCCCTGTCCCTGATCTGCCTGGCCAATGGCCTTTCCGCCTTTCGGGTCCATAGGGGCAATGTCCTCGCCCACTCATCCCTCAATATGCCCTGACCATGCATGAAGTGCTTGAAGGCGAGGATGAAGTCCTCTGCATTCCCGATCTCCAGGCGGATCGGTCTGCCGCCAGGTCCCACGGGCGATGGTCGTAGCTCCTGCATCCTCGCCTCCACCTCGGGCCTCGTCCTTGCCTCCCTAGGAATCTATGCAATGGGCTCCGCGAACCTACTGGCTCCCCTCAGCCTCTCAATTGCTTGAGTCATGGTCCAGCCCATATGCTCTGCATACCCCCAGAAATCGTCCAGGAACAACTCAATATCTCCATCATCATATACCGGCGTACTCTCTCGGTGGTGAGACCCATGCCGCTCGTATCCTCCTGATGCTCCCAACGGCCTCTGTGGCAGCCGCGTCCCCCTCCCTCCTTTTGGCATGGCTGTCTTCGTAAAGTTAGACCTGCACAACAGGCGAAGGAGGCAACATGCACACATTGGGGTAAGCAAAAGATGATAGATAAAACAAGCTCATGTCAAACCAACACATTCATCATACACCCCATTCTATTCTACACATCTCATCATCATATTCTAAAGAAGTTAGATTGTCTATCTCACCTCTTCCCTTGCCACAAACTTCTTCAGTCTCGTTCCTGATACCAAATCCTTCCATTCTGTCCCATTTAACTCTTCAATCTGGTATGCGCTGAAATCTCCCCATCGCACAATCCGATAGGGACCTAATCACCTCTTGTCGAGTTTTCTGGACCATTGTTTCTCCAAGGATGAATCATACAGGAGTACGATGTCCCCAACTGCCAAGGGTACTTTCCTTACTCGCGCCGACTGGTCCCATCGGGCCTTATCTTCCATACAGCTTCTTTCCACTTGGTTGGATGCCTCCTGGATTCTTTCGTCTATCGCGCCCACCTGCCACGCTCAAATATCGAGCAATTCTTCGAAAGACAGGTTAACCTCCAAATCCTGACGCCTCCATCTTCAGGAAGTTCTCGATTGGGAAGGTAGCGTGTCTTCCATACCATAGTGTGACCGACGCGTATTTAGTGGTCCTTTTCACCTTAATATTCTCGACAAAGAATGTCGCCCTCAGGTACCTTGACCACTGATTAGGCCTACCTTCAGTCCATTTAGCCAGAAGGTTCGTGATGGTGTTGTGTCCTCTCTCCACTGGAGCGTTTGTCTGGGGGTGCGCGGCCGTGGTGTAATTAGCTACCACGCCGTACCTTGATAACAACTCCTGCACTTCCTGTTAGGTAAACTCCGACCCTCTATCCATTACGAACTCTCTGACAAAGGGATAACACAGGTAGTACTCCTCGATGCAACTAACCAAGACTGACCCAGTCTTTGTACGAATGACCTTTCCATCTACAAAGCCAGAAAGGTTATCGCGCACATCGAAGATGTAGTTGTAACCTTGATCCCCAAGTGGCATAAAAAGTAAGTCGAGGTGTACTACGGCCCCCACTTCCCTTTCCAACCTGGGATGCAGTGGCTCTCTCGGCCTTAGACGAGATCGCTCTTGACAGGGTACGCAGGACTGGCAGAACTTGCCAACCATCTCCATCATCCCATCCCAGTAATATAGCTCACTTATCTTGGCATATGTGGCACTAACTCCTCGATGTCCTTCCGCAATACCATCATGAAGTGCAACTATAATGTCAATCTGATGGTTCCTGCCGCATACGACTCTCCTATGATTTCCCACTTGTCTCTTTACGAAAAGATGATAATCTCTCATTAGGTAGCGAAGCATCATCCTTTGGGCTCTGTCGCTCGCATCTCTATTCCGTATTTCGCACGATAGGAGAAGTCCCAGTTCCAGGTAGATCCCATTATACTCCTCTGCACGAAATGCCTCCTTGATCTCCCCTTCCTTTAACTCGTCATCCTAGTTCTCTGGCGCCACATCCTCATCCTCAGCCAGATTCAACGAGCTCATCCGATCAAAGTCTCCTTGCAGAAGCGTATTGACGAGGAGATACAGTCCTCTCATTAACTCCTTGTGCCGTTCTACCTGATCCGGTCCTTCCTATATTGTCCTCATTTTCTCCACTAGACTGTGCGAGTCTACCAATGCCAACTTCATCATCCACTGGAAATCTTTACTGCCCCATGGATCCTCTTCTTCGACAGGTTTGAGGACCGGCTCTGCCTTCTGTTCATACCCGTTTGGCGCCTGCCAGATAGGATGGCCAACGCAGCTAGGCACTCGTGGGGACCACTCATTGATGTGAAGACGGATGTCCTCTTCTTGATCCAAGAAGCCATCAACTGGGGGCGTGTTCTCTACTGCCTCCCCCTCTTGCTTGTCCCAGTTGATACGGCTCAGCCCGTCCGCCTTGTTCTTATTCATAGGAATCCGCTCCAACTCGAAATTAAACATCCAGATGTACGTCAACCATCTGGCAATAGTTGGATCCGTTGGAACGTAATTCCTTAGGGAATAGACCAAAGCAGTCGGGTCCACTCTCAATATGAACCTCATGCCAAAGATATAGTTTCGAAAGATTCACAGATAGTGGAGGACGGCGAGAGTCTCTCTCTTGAACTGAGAGTAATTTCTCTCATTTGTACAGAGAGTTCGACTCTCAAATCGCAGCCGTCTCTCTTTCCCTTGTGTATCTGCCTTAATCAAAACTCCACCTAAGGCAGTTGGCCCAGCAACCGTCTCGACAATGAAGAGTCTTGTCTCTGTGGCTTCATAGTCTGGCGCTCTCAATACCAACCCTCCTTCTCAGAATTCTTCCTTCATATCTGCCACCATTCTCTCCTGCTCTTCACCCAAGACCCACTCCTGATCGTGATGAACCAGCTTTCTCAAGTGCTCTGTCTTGGCGACAAAGTTCTCTACAAAAGTCCTCCAAAACCCACATGTGCCAAGGAAGCTTCTAACATCGGTTATCGAGTGGAATGGTACAGGCCACTCAATAATCTTGTCCGCCTTCTTTACGTCCGACCGACGGCTCTTCTCGCTACAGACGAATCCCAAGATAGTTGCTTCCCTCATGCAGTGTCTGGATTTGGCCCCACTTGCAGTGAGGTTATGCTTTTCAAACAAATTCAGGACTCTCTCAAGGTCCTAAATATGTCTCTAGACAGAGCGCCTTACCCCTGGCAAGACATCGTCATTCTCCGTCACCGTTGGCCCCTTCACTGCCAAGTCATCGATATATGGCTGTGTGATATGTGGACTGACTGACTGCATGGTCCGAATCATGGCCCGCTGAACCATTGCTACCGCGTTGGTCCACCCTTGTGGAGCCATATTCATATGGATCAGCCCTCGAGGCGTATGCATCGTCGTCACTGGCCTGTCTGGTGGGTAGACCGGAAATTGGTCATATCCGGAGTAAAGGTCTATAAGTGAAATTATAGGTCTTCCAGCACAGGATTCTGACAGCGCATCCGCATTTGGCAATCCTCCCGCATCTCGCACAGTCACCGCATTCAGTCGCTGCAGATCTTGCACCCATCGCAGCGTCCCATTGGGTTTGATGAAACAAAACCATGGGGATGCATACGGCCCACTTGAGTAGTCGATGACATGCGTACGTATCTTGTCGTCGAGGTAATCTACCACCTTCTTTTCTTCGTCAGGATTAGGATATTGCGCCCCTCTCAAGTTTCATGGCTCTTGCGGCACGGTATGGATGCGGATCATAAGAATCTTGTCCACATCCAACCTGCCGCGCTCCTCATCACTGAACGCATAGGCGCAATGTCTTTTCTTCATTAGTTTTACCATTCGAGCTCTTTCCTGGGGCAGTAGGAAGTCAGACTCTCCTATTATCAACTTCCCCTCGTTCCCTTCATTGATACGGCATGGTCCTGCTGAGGCACTCTCCTTCATCTGTCGTATCAACCCTCGCTCCCGCTCATAATATACCTCCTCATCTTCGGTAACGAGGATGAGAACTAGACGACACTTTTTGTTTATCGTTTTGTACCGCCTTTGGGAACACTGCTTGAGCCGTCCTCTAAAAAAGGTTGGCTTACAGCTTGTGCTTGCATTGATGCGGAGTTCCTCCTCCCACCTGGAAGCCGATATACTAATTTCAACTCCCCAGCCTGAGGACACTCCAGGACCTGTTCCCTCAGCGCCTGGATGACGTCTGGATCCGCCATCTTGTGCGTGACCACTATGTCCATGACCTTATTCACGTCCGACAAACTGAGGGAAAACGCCTTGATTCTTTCCTCCTCTTCTGGCTTTGCAAGGAGTCTCCGACGCTCGCCCTCTGACTCCTCAATCATGAATGAATCCGGATTCGGTCGGTTCCTTATGCTTTGAGGCCCTGTATTTATGCAGATAATTACTTCATAATTCCTGCAGGCAGGGTCACACATGATAAGGATCAAAGTCCCATCGTACTCGTTAAACATCAATGTCTCTGCTCTGCATAAGAAAGACCTTCCCAAGAGGATTCCGTGGTCCACGTCAGGCATAACGAAGAAGCACGCTCTGACTTTCACTCTCCCAACCTCGATGAGTACATTCGAGGCTGTCCCACAAAATGCAGCCTTGCAGTTGGCTGCATGTAGGATGCCGCAATCAGATCGGTCTATTTCCAATCCAAACCTGATTGCGTCAGCTTCCCGAATGATATTTATCTCCGCTCCCGTATCCAGCATTGCTGCATACTTGGAGCCTTTTACCACCAAATCCACCGTACCACAGGCCGCACACTTTCAGTCCATCTTCGTTCCTGTCTCTGCACACTCCGCCTTTTTCGGCAGAATCGTACTCAGATGGGCGTTGGGTACCAGGCGCCGCGACAACCTCCCCTTCAGTCCGTCACGGAGCTTAGGTGCTGATGCCAAAATTTCCTTCAGGATCATAAGGTCGTTGTGACCCTCCAACAACCTATCAATCACCTTCTCCACGTCGAACCCTTCTTCTAGCCGGACCGCATACTTCAAGTTTTTCTTTTTGGGTGACACACCATACAGGATCGGTTCGACTTCATCTCTGGCTTCTCTCTTTCTGGCCCTTTGCCCCGCCCTCTGGTCTTCTTCCTGGTGCAACCTTTCGTCCTCTTCTTCCTCCTCCTCCTCATCCTCTACTTCCACGGCCTCCTTCCTTTTCCCTGGCTTAGGCTCTTTTCGAGGAGGCTCTTGGCTCGCACTGGCCTTGGCCCGACCTCGGGTACGAGCAGCCTGCGCCAGCCTTCCTTGCGGCGTAGGGGCTTTGGTCATCATCCCTGACCGTGGGTTTGATCCTACGGTGTTTACCCTGGGTCGCTCTGGCATTGACTCAGGACTGGAATCATAGAGGAAGACCTTGGGGATGCTAACCCTCTACTCCTTCACTCCTTCGCAGAGGTCTACCAACTTCTGTTGGTATCTTCCCACCTTTTCCAACCAACTATGGGTTCTTCTTTTATATCCCCCGCCCGCAACCTCTGGGTCACTTCCTCGTTACTTCCCACTTCTTCCACCCTAACCGGTGGATCCTCTTTTTCCTGCCATAATCTAAACGTGGAAGGCGGCGCTTGCCATGCAGGTACTCTTCTCTGGGCCTCCGCTCTCACTCCGCCAGGGACCTTCCTGTGAATATAATCCCCAAACTGATCGTATATGTCCCCATCCATATTTGAGTAGATCAGTCCTACTCTTTCAGCTTCCCGCCTGGTATTGCAGAACCGTATGGTGTGACCTTGCTTGTCACAATGTTGGCAAATGGCGGTTCTCCAATCGAATTGGGTTCTCCCGCTTCCCTGGCTTCCTTGGTTGCCTTGATTTCCCTGGCCCTGGTAGCCTTGGTTGCCCCACTAACCTCCTCCGCCACCGCAATTTCTGCCACGCCCTCTTCCACCGCCTCTCCCTCCATTCCCCTGATTTCCCTGGCCTTGATTACCTCCACCTGCCACACTGCCTTGTGAGCTAGGTGCGGGCGACGGAGGTGGCGCTACGGGTTGGGCCTGAGCGGCGGGATAGCTTGGAGGCGGCATGCTTGCTTGGGGCCCAGTGTACAGTACCATTTGACTGGGCGGAGCCGGGCTTCCCCATGGCACAAAAGTATTGTACATGGGTCATGACCACTGTCCGAATGGTGGTACTGACACTTGCGAGGGCCCCGCACCACTCGATGGAGCCGATGCGCTTGGCGGTGTAACTGCCACTGTCTGGGGCACCTGCCCCTTTCCTGAACCTTGGCCCCCTTGCGTCAAGTTGCATTGTCTGCGTAGCGCTTTCGATAAATGTTGGGGCATTGACTCCTCTTCCCACTCTTCTTGGACATCTTCCTCTATCACTGGGACTTTCCCCTTACCTTGGACTGTTGTCACTACTTTTCTTTGAATCACTGCGTCTTTTCCATAGCCCAATTCCACTAGTACATCAATGACAAACCTTCTTACTCCAGGGGTCCCGGATGTTGTGGCATCTCTTTCTCATTTTTCCCTTCTTCGCTCCGTTTGCCTTCGACTTCCCCTGACCAGAATTGTCCCGCTAGCAGCTGACCCGACAGGCTCGCGATCAGAAACCAAAATAAGTTTTGCCCTTTTGCTATGCACAAAATTTCTCATTCTTATTGAACTCCTCGCTCCCTTCCAACAGATGTGCTGCCTCAGCCAACTCCCCGCTGGATAATGTCTTTGCTTGGATTGGACAGGCCGCAAGGGCCTGCATCTTGGATCGAGGGGCAGAGGCAAAGTCCCTGTCCCACCTCACGAAATAGGTAAAATAAAATAAAATAAAAATAAAAGTAGTGGTATTTCAGCTTGTGGCGCAAGCTCCCACTCACCCACCTTCAGTGGAGTTCCAGCTCAGGTATGCATTTCAACAGTTCGCAGGTCTACAAACTGGGCTGGGCTAGCTGGTTCCATGCCCGAGCGTGGAATCAGTTGCAGGGGGACATGCCAATTTTTTATGTACCATTCCAGTTTAAACAGATGTCCCGAAGGACCACCCTGCGCGAATGGGCATGGGATATCATCATTGGACTGACTGATCCCTGGTAATCGGGACTGTAGTATTTCACAAAATTGCATCATGTAGCATTCAAACTCAGATCTGTATTTCCACTGTTGAAGGGTGTGCCACCTGAGCTAGACCCGCAGGTGTTGGTCCCACATGCCTGTTCAACAGTTCATGGGGGTCCCATTGAGCTAGGCCCGGCAGCAGTTCTCACAGGACTATTTTCAGCAGTTCGCGTGTGTACCAACTGAGCTGGGTCTGCAGCTGCTGGTCCCACAGGCCTGTGACGCCGTGCACACCCAGGTCGCGCATGGTTGCTCCTTACTGTCAATACCTCGCGCGCTCTGCTCACCCGGGCAATGACTCAACTCTCACCTGCGAGTGCGCCATCAACTTCGGACAAGGTCACACCGGAGTGACTTACAAAAAACACGCCGAATACCCTTGTAAGGGTATTTGGTACGACAGTCCTCCCGGACCCTATTAAGCGACGTCCCCGTCGCTTTGGGTGTCCAAACCAAATACTATTCAAACATAGCCTTAAGGAAACGTATACAGTGATTTTCTAAACACAATTGATTTGACTAAAAACGGTCATCCAGTTATATCGACTTCGAGCCTCAATTCCTCGGGATAACTTGGCAAATGTCAGCGTGACTCGACAGTTGAAAGTATTATTTAATTCCTGACCAAAATATGAATCTACAATAGCCGAATAATCGGCTAAGCACTGACACGCTTCAACCTTTAGTTCAACAAAGTGGATGAAGCCACTTTCCACCAGCTATAATCACGGACATGAAGTCAACCAAAGTCATACTTGAAAACTACACCATTCCCGGTCCCTTTGAACGATATTTTATCGTGTCGGGCACCGAAATCATCCTATGATAAAAACAAAACCCAATTCTATCATGGGCTTAGAACTCAAGATATGAAAACTCACATGATGATCATTCATACTCAACTCATTTACACACCTTTCTTTAAACTCTTCCTCAAGAGAACACCCAATTGTGGGGAAATCAGACATCTCATTCTTAAGGCCAACCAATATAGTTCGCCTGATTGACCTTATTACCCAGGCCACAAATGTACCTCATGGGTTGGGCCTCGTTAAGCCCAACCTTACAGGTCATTTATTGTCACACACAAGCCATTTATTTCAATCACTCACAAAAGCAGATGGGCATGGGTATTCATTAAGCCTTTAAAACAAATAAATGAAATTCACACCTTTTGTCCACAAATCCTACTTTTAAAGTAGGGTTTTTCACTTTCGTAACACACTCTGTCAATCTCATTCATAAGCTTTGCGTAATAAGTAAGCTCTTATATTTTTTCTCCAAATAACAACTCAACATTTTTACTTCTCAAAATTCCACATTTGTTGACAATGTGACTTTCAACATAGACTAAAGCCAAGTGGAAGGTCCCAGAATCAGGCGGGTTTCCCTGCCGCAGACGACGCCCCCACAGGCGATTAGTCAAAACTTAGTCCTCATAATCATGGAAATCACTGTCGCAGACTAGACCACTTGCAGCCCATAATAAGTTAAGTGAAGGGTCCCAGAATCAGGCGGGTTTCCCTGCCGCAGACGACGCCTTCACCGACTATTATGTGATTAAGCTAAGCGGGGATGCCGATTCTGGCGGTTCTTTCCTTACCCTCTGCCGCACACAAAACCATCTGTGACTCACAATCAAAGGTCAGTCATGAGGGGTCCCAGAATCATGCGGGTTTCCCTGCCGCAGACGACGTTCCCAGCGACAGCTGAGAATCAACAGAATGGAGATGTCGATTCTGGCGGAGGGTAAAAAAACTTTTACCTTACCCTCTGCCGCACACACCATCTGTGACTCACAACCAAAGACCAGACATGAGGGGTCCCGGAATCAGGCGGGTTTCCCTGCCGCAGACGACGCCCCCACCGACAGCTGAGAATGAACAGAATGGAGATGCCGATTCTGGCGGAGAAAAAAATAAAATAAAAAAATCTTACCTTACCCTTTGCCGCACACAAGACCATCTGTGACTCATAACCAAAGGCCAGACATGAGGGTGCCCATAATCAGGCGGGTTTCCTTGCCGCAGACGACGCCCCCACCGGCAGGTGAAAATCAACAAAATGGAGATGCCGATTCTGACAGAGAATTAAAAAAAAAAAAAAAAAAATCTTACCTTACCCTCTGCCGCACACAAAACCATATTTGACTCACAACCAAAAGGCCAGACATGAGGGGTCCTTGAATCAGGCGGGTTTCCCTGCCGCAGACGACACCCCCACTGGCAGCTGAGAATATACGTAGCACCGTGTTCGCGTTCGGAGGCGAACGTGAACATGTTCGCCCGAACGCAAACATGTTCGCCCGAACGCAAACAACCGCCAAAAACCCTCCGAAGGCGAACATTAAAATTATTAAAAAATATATATTTATATATTCTCAGAAAAATCTGAAAAAAATATATGTTATGTAAAATAACAATACAAGCAACTTTTACCTTGGAGTCATATTCAAAATCGTAGCCAATCATGAGTTAAAAATCAAAAACCATTATTTATTTATTTATTTATTTTTAACGAGAAAAAATTATGTTCGCCCGAACATGTTCGCGAGCTATTCGCGCGAACGCGGGAACATGAAGGGGCGCGAACATGAAGGGGCACGAACACATTCACCGTGGTACACAGCTGAGAATCAACAAAATGGAGTTGCCAATTCTGGCGGAGGATAAAACTCTTAGTAAATCTCTTTTTCCAAAAAAACCACTTAGGCCGTCTCAAGCATAACCTCTCTCTCATTTATAACTCAATATAACATTTGAACTCTTTGAGTCTCCCAAAAATATCTCACTGATAATCATTATTTCTTCATTTCATCGAACCCTCTTTGGTTCGGACACATTTTATTCACGATTTACCATATTTTTCCTTCACACTTTTAACTCTTTGCTTTTTCGCATATCAATGAGAATAAAACATAGAAAAACCCACAGAGTTTCAATGGTGAGAATGATAATGACAACCAGGACGCATACAAATCTGCAATATGAGGGGATAAAAAACTCATACCAAAATGATTCTCAAAAGAGATTCAGACTATCTCGAGTTTCAAATTATGACAAATCTCAAATCATCACCAATCAAAGTCTTAATTAAAAAACAAATGACCTTGTATAGCATACTCTACATGTCATAATTGACTGATATACACAGAATGATCCCAAGTGTTATCGTGAAGGTGATTGAGCGTCAAACTTACGAACAACCTATCCATAGTAACTCTCCACTGATATCCTACAAAAACTGAAA